TTTTTTTTTTTTTTTTTTTTTTTTTTTTTTTTTTTGCCTTGGAAATAGAGGTTTATTACAGTGTGGAAGAGAACGCATGGCCCATTCAGTTAGTCTTCAAGAGCAGAGCTTCATAATGTAGGCCAGCAGAAAACAGCAGCACTGTGCCCTCTTTGTCAACACTTGGATTATGCTCACATCATCGCACAGGGTTTTGGGGACTATGCTTTGTTGCCCCAGATGTCTCTCATTTTGCAGGCGGTAACACTTCTTGAGGTAATAACTTCTCTCCTTCCACTTGTACACTTCCAAACAGCCATCAATAAATGTGACGATGACATATATGGGATTCACCAGTAATTGCATGTTCTCTTCCGAGTAGTGTTGAAATCTCTGCCGCTGGAGCCCAGTCATGGTGTAGACTAACAGAGATGGCCCACTTGAACACACAATCACACTCTTATCACTGACGCCCATCCACTCTGGGCTTTGCATGTGAGGTGACAGCTTGAAGCTTGCTGCAGCACGTGCTTCAACATTTATTTTGCCCTCTGTCTTTTCCAGTTCTATATCAAATGTGACAAATCCCGCAGTTCTGTGGGCGCCTCTCTGGTACATCAGCGTTATCCGGTCTTCCCTCCTTGAGGTCCAGAAGCCTTTGATGCATAATGTAAATGAAATAACACAAAACACAAGGGGGGGTATTCTGCTCGCCTCAGTAAGCTGTCCATGAAAAACACCTTTGGCAAGACACGAGGCTCTTTATTATTCAGAAAAACCCACTTCAAGTGAGGAGAGCAGTGTAGCTGGTTATTGGGGGCCTCCAATGCATGGACTGCAGAAATGAGCAGTAAGTCGGGAATCTGATATGTATAGAGGTCACCAGAAGTGCCACCAGTCAAGACGACAGGACCATCCCTTGTAATGACAGCTTTCAGTGATGGACAGGGAGATAACATTATGTTAGTCGCCAAAGCATCCCTGTCACAACAATTCCACACTTTGACGGTTGCATCCATATCTAAGGTGATCATAAGATGCATCTCCGGGAGGGAAGCCAGTTTCAGGATATCGATGGGCTATACTGGGCTTAAGCAGGTCATAGCACCCTCTCCAATATCCCAGGCAGTAAGCCTTGTCATGGAAGTCACCACACAGATAACCGATTTTCCTTCTCTGTCCATTGTTAAGCCACCCTTTGAGAGATAGCTCACATATCCCTGAAATCCAAAGTCCCCGGGCATTTCTTTGTAGATGAAGTCTTCCAGCTTTACCCGGGATATAGAGTGTTCTTGCCTAGTTTGGCAAAGGAAGTACTGCTTCAATGTCTGTTTATGCCAGCACTTTCGAGGCATGTCTGGAAAGAACCACCTCTTCTGACACAGCTTCCTCCAGAGGAAGTCAGTGCTTGCAACTTCATTCCAGCTCTTGTTCACTTGGGCAGCTTGGAGCAAGCTGAAGGCATCCAGAAAGGAGAAGATTTTCAGCATTGGCACACTAGTTAATAGTTGACCTGAGCCCCTCAGGACACACAACACGGTAGGATACCAGTCTCTCCAGAGTGAGAAGAACTAAACATTCTCCTGGATAGGTTTCAAATCCAGAATATACCCTCCCCACCCAAATTGTTAGAAACATCGAATAATCTCAGCGTTGCACACACAAACAAAGTGTGTTCTCTCAGGTAGGCAAGTCTTTTGGTAAACAGAATGTGTCAGAATCTAATCTGGGCTATTAACACACTGAGGCCAATATAGCAGCATCCCCAAACATACGTTTATCCCTGATGTACATGGTTAACGGTACCGTATACTGCAGGCGGTAACTTCGAATTTACAATCTTCTGTGATTGTTTTCTTGACCCAAATGGTTGTGGGATGTTCAGGAAGTATGAGTCCTTTCTGCGATTTGTTAGCTTTTGTTGTTGCTCTTTGTTTTAAATAACACTGCTCCCTCTACCAGAGGGAGGCAGAGTTTGAAAGAAGAACTTTACTATGGGGTGCTGAAGACAGAGGATTTAGGAAGAGCTTCTGTACAGCAGGATGGGTATCTGGTAGTGTGACAGCATTGAGCCTCCTTGCCTTGGATGGGGGAAGGCAATGTCAGGGGATGATCTGGTCAGTCCAGTTCTCCTTCCTGGTGTTCAGGTGTGTAGTTTCAGTCAGTGTGATTTCCTTCAGAAGGTACTCCTGGAGGGGAAAGTGAAGAGGAAGAGCCATAAGCCCTGCTAGACAGTCTCAGTCCATGGCAGAACCAGAGCCATTTTAGGTATAGACACTCCTGGAATTTCTGGTCTTTGGCAAAAGTGAGGCCTGCAAAGGGCCCAAAACACTTTCAGCCTTTACCAAGGAAAGACACTGACTGCTCTTCTTGAGGTCATGGAACCCCCAACTGCCTAGACCGTCTCTCCCT